TAGACTCCGGCCACAGCCTGTCCCTCAGGGCTGATGGAAACCTTCCTTGTGATTACAAGACATTTAATATGCTTCTCAGTCCCCACACCCCACCACTTCCAGCAGATGGCACACTTTTCCTACATCTCCAGGAACAGGTTGGCCAGCTCCAAACTCCACAGGCCAAACCCAGTTCACCACAGGTTTTTTATAAATAAAGTTTTATTTATTTACTTTTTTTTTAATGTTTTATTTATTTCTAGGAGAGAGAGAGAGAGACAGCGTGAGCAGGGGAGGGTCAGAGAGAGAGGGAGTCACAGACTGAAACAGGCTCCAGGCTCTGAGCCGGCAGTCAGCACAGAGCCTGATGTGGGGCTCGAACCCACGAACGCGAGATCATGACCTAAGCAAAAGTCGGACGCTTAACCGACTAAGCCGCCCAGGCGCCCCTATAAATAAAGTTTTATTGGAACACAGCCACACCCATTTGTTTACATATTGTCTGTGTCTGGTTTTGCATTACAATGGTAAGATTGAGGTGTTGTGACAGAGCTTATGTGGCCTGTAAAGCCTAAAATATTAGCTTGTCCTTTATTGAAAAATTGTACTGACTCTTGTTCTAGAACAATAAGGTCATCAGGTATGTCTTCTCATCTGCTCCCTTCCAACCTATGAACTAATTTGCATCGGATCCCGTTCTTACCTCTCCCATCAGTCCCCAACCATGAGATGTCTCTTCTCAAGGCCAACCCTTCAATCTCTGATTCTGACTCTAGCCTCCTTCTTCTCCAGAACCTTCGTCATTCAGTTTTCTCTGTCACCCGTCAACCAATCACCCATTCAGTTTTCTCTGTCTTCACCCTCTCCCTCTGCACTGCCTTTTTCTTTAGGTCCGTAGATCTCTTCAAGTATGTCGCTCTGACAAGCCTTTCCTGATCCTTCACTGGGCACACCCACCTGCTCTTCGCTCACTTGGAAGGGGCATGCACACCTGCTGTCTCTACCTCCTCGTCTCCCCTCTACGCCACAAGCAGTCTGGATTCTGTCCTAATCACTCCATCAAATCTGGTCCGGGAATGGCCACAAATCACCAATCACCACCATGCCGTGAAAGCCACTGGACAATTTTTAGTCCATATCTTATCAGACCTCTCTGCTGTATTCAACACTATTGGCCATTTGCTCCTTCTTGACATTCTAGACTCACTTCATCCTAATGATATTACTCTCACCTACCTTCCCTTCTGTCTAATTCACCGTATGTCTTATTTAGGGCCTCCTATAGCCACTCTAAATCTCAGTGTTCATAAGTGGCATCCACGGCCCACTGCTCTGCTCACTACATAAATTTATGGCATATTTTTATCCACTCTTGGGACTTTCACTGTAGCCTACAAATGATGACTCTCAATTCCACATCTCCAGCCTTAACCACTCTTGCAGATTAACATATCCCACTGAGTGCTTAGAAAGTTCCATGTGAATTTGCTTTGGCTGGCTCAAGTGTAGCATGTCCAAAACCAGACTCATCAACTTCCCGCTAGAACTGCTCTTTTCAGTCTTCACTATTCCGTCATCCACCAATCCCTAAGCTGGACATTTGAGAGTCGCCTTGCCTTTCTTCTCATTGTCAAGTAACACACCCTGCAGACTTCTTTTCCCGACTGGAATGAGTGCATCCGTATTGACTACTATGTATTATGTGTGCCAGTGGTTTTTATGGGTTGACCCAGCTGATCCCCAGGACGCTCACACACCATAGGCATCATCCCCATTTAACAGGTGAGGCTCAAAGCAGGTGAGTAATTTTCTCAAACCACAAAGCAAATGTGTGAGAAAAGCTAAGCCAGTATTAGATCCTAAGACTGCTGTGACCTCTAACCCTGGGTGTGATCTGAATAGGGGTTTTGTGGTACACAGCGAGTTATCTGCCCAATGCCCAACACTTCCATTCTGCATTCTGTATCAGCCATGCAGTCTGGGGGGCAAAGGGGGGCCGGGGTTGACTCCTCATGAAGTTCCAAGCATGGCTGTAGGTGTGACCTGTTTGTTTATACCGAGGTGAAATTCACATAACATGCAATTGACTATTTTGAAGTGTACAATTCGGCAGCATTTAGTGCATTCACAGTGTTGTGCAACCTTCACCTCTGTTTTGTTCCAAAACGTTTTCATCACCCCCCCAAGGGAGACCCCATGTGCATTAAACAGTTTTTCTTCATCCCCTGCAGCCTGAATTGTTTCAGCCTCATCAGGATAACCTCCCTCGGGACTCAGCCGAAGCCAAGTTGAGCATGGATGTCCCATGACTAAAGAGATTGGTTCTGGGATGGACATGGATAGAATGTGTATGTAACTAAGTTATATTGATGTCAGGCAGCAAAAATATCTTCTCATAGAAAGAGGGTTGCTGCCCTAACCTCCAGCCTAACTGGATACTAGAAGGAGAAAATCTAAATTTCTGAGCTCCTCTACCTTGGTGGTCTCCTGCTCTGCCCAGTCTGCTGGGACCCCCAACGTCAGGCTCATCTATCTCTGTGAAGAAAGCACGGAGAGGCTGCTTCTACTCAGCCCCTTGGTCCTAAGAATAAGCCTCATCTGATTGTTTGCCGGTTCTATAGGAAACTAAGCAAAAGTCAAGGAGTCAGAGCAATCATTCTCTCTAAGGTTATTACCTGCACTATCCCTGCCACGGGGCCTACGTGAGCCTCAAACCTAATTTGGTGCATTGAAGTCTGAAGGCAGATCTCCTGGGGGCCTCTAGAAAAGTAGGTTCCCCGTGAAAATATTTTAATCTGTCTACACTGCAATGAACTGCCCCAGGAACAATGAGATTGCTTTGGTGGTTTACCCTCATTAGCTGCTCCCCTGCCTGTTGGGATCACCTTCCCTCAGACATATTCTGGACACGTTCCCAAGAGGTGAGTCTGTAAATAATCAACTTGACTTTTAACAGAGTCTGAACGTGGTCTTCGGTGTATGAAAACTCAGAGACAAGCCAAGTAAGGGATCCGCTAAAATAATTCCTTTTAGATTTGCCTTACACATGTTTCTGTGTTTCCTCATTTTTCTACTGTCGATCTGCATTATTCTTCAAATCAGAAAAAAAGGTACTGTGTGAGAACGGGGTTCGTGTCCACCCATTATTAGCCTTCCATTTTGTGGGCCTCCCCCCTCACGGGTAAGGCGAGAGTTTTGGACTATGCGATGGCTAAATCTGTTTCAACTCTGACAACGCAGAATTTGAGGACACTAACGAAATCAGCGTCAAGATTGGGGAACGGGCCACTAGCAATAATGGTAATACTGTGGCCATAGAACTAAGTGTGTGTGTTGCCACGGAATGACTTCAAAAGAAATTAAATTTTAGGGGCGCCTGGGTGGCTCAGTCGGTTGAGCATCTGACTTCGGCTCAGGTCGTGATCTCATGGTTCATGGGTGGCTCGCTGCTATCAGCATGGAGCCTGCTTCAGATCCTCTGCCCCTGGCTCTCTCTGCCCCAACCCTGCGCTCTTGAAAATGAAAAATAAAATAAAATAATAAATTTTAAAGGGGAAGGTGCTGAATGTTACATATATGTGTATGCTATATGTATATGTTTGTATATATATGTATATATTACAAACGGTATTTTGAAAGAAACACAAGAAACTGGCTACAGTAATTCCTCTGAGCTGGGGAACTGGGGCTGGCCTGGGGGTCATTTTATACTTTTTAACTGTTGGACTTTTTGCGGGCTATACTCTATTGACTTCTCAGAGCAAGAAAAAAGGAGAATGTGCCAATATCCACATCCTGCCATTCAACGTCACAGACATCTAGAGCATTTAATATATGCTACATTTTTCATATATCCCTTCCCTTGAACTTCACCTCAGCTTCCAAGTCAGGTATTATTTATTATGTCTGTTTTTATAGATGGTTCAGGCGAGTGAAACAATTTCCTGGAGTCATTCCGCTTATGAGCGCGGAGCTAAGATTGGGGCCTGCATCGGAGTCGAGGGAACACGTTGTATTTCCAGCGTGCCTGCATGCAGGGAGAGGTTGGCCCCGGGTTCTCCATGATGCTTTTCCAGGGTGCTGAGGACAGTCCAGGCCGGTGGGCCGCTATTGCAGAGTGCGGCTCAGGGGGCCTCATTTGTCGTCGATCCCGTCTATCACTCTGGCTGGCGGCGGAGTTAGACGCCACACCTGCGCCGCGCCCCCCTCTCCCAGCGCTGAAGGCTGTTCCCGGTGAACCCCTGTGTTTCTCGGCCCGAAAGCTATTTTTCTGGTTGCCTGAAGGTGTTTGCTGTACAGACACGCCGAAGTGTTGGAAAGGCACTGTTCTGGAAGCAGCACGCAGCCAGATGACAATCGGCCGGGACGGGCATTGCAGCCCCCTCGCCATCCTGGCGAGGCTAACTTCCAGAAGGTCCTAGGCTGGCTCCCAGAGGTCCCCGACGGCGGTTGTTGAGGACCCAGCCAGCCCTTATTGCCCCTTCCCATGCCTGAGGCTCAAGTCCTGCTCCCCTCCTTTCGTGGGAACCCCCTCCCAGGCAGACAACTGGTGTTCATATCCTTGCCTCCGGAGGACGCCCCAAACTCTGACACCAGGAAAAACCTCCTGAAGGGGTAACTCAGAGGGGGAGAATCACACCCATGTTCGGTGCTGGGACTGAAAACATGCATCGCCCATTCCAGTCCCCGCGCGCGTTTGGTTTCTTAGCCACAGCGCCGTGTGCGCCTGGATTCTTCCAGCTCATCTTGAGTGCGCAAGCCCAGGAGGCGTGCATTTGCCGTGGGGACGCTCAAGGACAAAGGAACAGCTCTGGAGCGTCTGTGCGGCCCGCAGACGGCCGGGTCACTGGGAACCGCAAGGAGAGCCCGTCTCTGACGAAGTGTGGGCCCGAGGGCTTCGCCTGCGCCTGCGCGGGGGCCGCAGTCAAGCGTGGGCCGTGCTCCAGTGCACCGCGTCTGCGCCTGCGCGGACCGCCGTCTCCCTCTCTCCTTCCGCGTTCTCCAAAGCCCGAGCGCCACTCTTCGTCCCGCGTCCCTCCTCGCCTGCGGGCTGCTGCCGGACCTGCCACCGCGGGCTTGGGGCCTCGCCAAACCTTTCCACCCCTTAACTGATTTTGAAAGGGATTCTTTCTGCTGTTCGGCCAGATATAACCAAATATGCCTGGGAATTGCACCCTTGAGTAACGGAGCAGCCCAGAAACGACAAATGCCTCGCAGTCTTGCTCTACCTCCGGGCCCCGTCATCGGGCGTCATCACCTGCACGTGGGTCCACACGCAAGGAGAGAAAAGCCACGAGAGAGGAGCGGAAGCAAGGTAAGAGGGAGAGTGGAAGCTGCTGCCGGTGAAGACGGTGGTTTTCCCGTGGATGGTGGAGGTTATGGCCATAAACACTGCTTCTTTTCCATAGTCCTCTGCTTTGACTTGGGGTCAGATTCAAGGGTGAAAGGAGATGGAAGGTGCATTTAACAGCCTTTTCTTTAAGCCCACTAACTGTGCTCTCCTGCATTAATACTAACGCACTGCTCGAAGCCTGGAATTTTCTCTTTAAGTGTTTTTATTTATTTTTGAGAGAGCATGAGTGGGGGAGGGGCAGAGGGAGAGGGCGACAGAGGATCCAAAGTGGGCTCTGCGCTGAGAGCTGGGAGCCCAAAACGGGGCTCGAACTCACAAACTGTTAAGATGATGACCTAAGCCACCAGGCGCCCTTAAGTCTGAAATTTGTTCTCAGGGCTGTCCCAGGAGCTCCGTCTCATCTCTATTCAGAATAATTTGGTTGTTGGGTTTTTTTTTTTTTAAATATTTTATTTATTTCTAGGAGAGAGAGAGAGAGAGACAGCGTGAGCAGGGGAGGGTCAGAGAGAGAGGGAGTCACAGACTGAAACAGGCTCCGGGCTCTGAGCTGGCAGTCAGCACAGAGCCCGACGCGGGGCTCGAACCCACGAACCGCGAGATCATGACCTAAGCGAAAGTCGGACGCTTAACCGACTAAGCCACCCAGGCGCCCCTGGTTGTTGGTTTTTAAGGAGAGTACCCTCTGCTGACCTCACCTCTCCCTTCAAGGTAGATTCTTCAGGTCTCAAAGGCTCAGACTTCCCGTATTTTTTATCTTTTTGCTTACCGTCTCACCTCATGTATCAAATCAGTCATTGATGGGGGCATTTGTCCTTTAAAACACGTTTATAAGTCATATTTGCCTTTCTATTTCTCCTGCCTCTGTCGGGGGCAGGTCCTCTTTATCACGAGGACCCAGGATTATTGGATGATCTAGATCCTTATACTAGCACCCTAATGGATTCCCTTACTGGAGTTTGAGCACTTCCTAAAGAGCAGGGTCATGTTCATCTTCAAAAATGCTCATCATGACACACCACACCACAGCAGCCAGAGTGAGACTCTAAAACGTAAGTGAGCTCATGTCATTCCTGTGCTCAGAACCTTCCCGTAACTCCCCATTTTAGTCACCGTATAAAAGTCTTTTTTATATGCAGTTTCTTTACTGGGATGTAATTGACACGTAAGACTTCCTTAGTTTCAGGGGCACAGCATAATGATTCAATATTTGTATAAGGAAATGATCACCAGGAGAAGTCTGTTAACATCCGTCAGCATGCGGTTAAAGTTTTTTTTCTTATGATGAGACCTTTTAAAAGATTTACCTCTTAGCACCTTTCAAATATGCAAAGCTTTATTATTAACTCTAATCACCATCTGTACATTATATCCTCAGGCCTTCTTGATTCTTATAACTGGAACTTTGTACCTTTTGAGCCATTTCACCCATTTGCCACCCCCCCCTCCCAATCCTGCCTCTGGTGACCACCAATCTGTTCTCTGTATCTGAGTTCGGTTTTTTGATTTTGGGGTTTTTTAAGATTCCACATATAAATGAGATCACACGATATTTGTCTTTCATATAGCCTTCAAGGTCCAACCATGTCACAAACAGCAAGATTTCCTTCTTTTTTATGGCTGAATAATATTGCATTGTATATATACAGTTGACCCTTGAACAACGCAGGAGTTGGGGGGGCTGACCCGCTGCACAGGCAGAAATCCACATATAACTTTTGGGGCGCCTGGGTGGCTCAGTTGGTTGAGTGTCCGACTTCGGCTCAGGTCACCATCTCATGGTTCGTGAGTTTGCGCCCCATGTCAGACTCTGTGCTGACAGTTCGGAGCCTGGAGCCTGCCTCATATTCTGTCTCTCTCTCTCTGCCTCTCCCCTGCTCATGCTCTGTCTCTCTCTCTCAGAAATAAATAAACATCAAAAAAATTTTTTTTAAGAAATTCCCGTTATATATATTCTTGGCTCCAAACATTTATGTGGTTATAAATGAATTGACCACATATGTGTGAATCTACTTCTGGACTCTCTTATTCCACTCCATTGATCTGTGTGTCTGTTTTTATGCCAATACCACACCATTTTGATTCCTATAGCTTTGTAATATAGTTGGAACTCAGAAAGTATAATGCTTCCAGCTCCGTTCTTTCTCAAGGTTGTTTTGGCTATTTGGGGTCTTTTGTGGTTCCATACAAATTTTAGGATTGTTTGTTATATTTCTGTAAAAAAAAAAAAAATGCCATGGGGATTTTGATAGGGATCACACTGAATCTGTAGATTGCTTTGGGTAATATGGACATCTAACAATATTAAGTCTTTTGATCCATGAGCATGGAATGTCTTTCCATTTATTTGTGTCTTCTTCAGTTCTTTGTTCACGGTCTTCTAGTTTTCAGTGTACACGTCTTTCACCTCCTTGGCTAAACTTATTCCTAGGTATTTTATTCTTTTTGATGTAATTGTCAATGGGATTATTTTCTTAATTTCTCTTTCTCTGGTAGCTTCTTATTAATGTATAGTAATGCAGCGGATTTTTGTATATTGATTTTGTGGCCTGCAACTTTACAGAATGTGTATGTTCTTTTTTTTTCTCACTTTATTTTTTTAAAATAGTTTATTGTCAAGTTGGTTTCTAGATAACACCCAGTGCTCATCCCCACAAGTGCCCCTCCCCCATGCCCATCGCCCCTGTCCCCACTCCCCCCCACCCCCATCAGCCCGTAGTTTGTTCTCAGCATTCGAGCGTCTCTCATGGTTTGCCTCACTCCCTCTCCCCAACTATTTTTCCCCTTCTTCTCCCCCACGGTCTTCCTTTAAGTTCCTCCTAATCCTCCTGTACGTGCAAACATATGGTATCTGTCCTTCTCTGCCTGACTTATTTCGCTCAGCATGACACCCTCAAGGTCCATCCATGTGGCTACACATGGCCAGATGTCATTCTTTCTCATTGCAATGGAGTATTCCATTGTGTAGATGAACCACATCTTCTTGATCCATTCTTCCGCTGATGGACACTTAGGCTCCTTCCATGGTTTGGCTATTGTTGAGAGTGCTGCTACGAACATTGGGGTCCATGTGCTCCTATGCATCAGCACTCCTGTGTCCCTTGGGTAAATTCCCAGCAGTGCTACTGCTGGGTCATAGGGGAGTTCTGTGAATTTTTTGAGGAACCTGCACACTGATTTTCAGAGGGGCTGCACCATTTTGTATTCCCACCAACAGTGTAGGAGGGGGCCCGTTTCTCCACATCCTCGCCAGCATCTATCAGGTTATGGGGTTTTCTGTTTATTTGGTGGAGTCTTTAGGGTTTTCTATATATAATAGGATGTCACCTGCAAATAGTGACAGTTTTACTTCTTCCCTTCCAACTCGGTTGTCTTTTATTTCTTTTTTGTGCCTCGGACTTTTCTGGCCGGGACTTCCAAAACAATATTGAATAAAAGTGATGAGAGTGGATGATCCTGATCTTAGAGGAAAAGCTTTTAGCTTTTTACCACTGAGTATGGTGTTAGCTGACCATTATTGTGTTGAGTTACATTCCCTCTATACCCACTTTGTTGAGAGTTATCATTAATATATGTTGAATTTTGTCACATGTTTTTTCTCCATGTATTCAGATGATCATATGACGCTTATCCTTCCGTTAGTGATTGATATGCATATGTTGAACTATACTTGCCTCCCTGGAATAAATCCCATTTGATCATGGTGTATAATCCTTTTAATGTGTTGTTGAATTTACTTTGCTAATATTTTGTTGAGGATTTTTGCATCTATGTTCATCATGGATATTGGTGTGTAATTTTCTTTTGTTGTGATGGCTTTCTCTGGTTTTGGTACCAGGGTAATTCCAGTCTCATAAAACGAGTTTGGAAGTATTCCCTCCTCTTCTCCTTTTTGGAAAAGCTTGAGAAAGATTGATATTAATTCTTCTCTTAAATGTTTGCTAGAGGGACGCATGGGGGGCTCAGTCAGTTAAGCATCCGACTGGCTTGGGTCATGATCTCGTGGTTCGTGGGTTCAAGCCCCATCTTGTGCTCTGACTGGAGCCTGCTCCCGGTTCTGTGTCTCCCTCTCTCTCTGCCCCTCTCTCATTCATACTCTGTCTCTGTCTCTCAAAAATAAACATTAAAAAAATTTTGTTTAGGGGCGCCTGGGTGGCTCCGTCGGTTGAGCGTCCGACTTTGGCTCAGGTCATGTTCTCAACGGTTTGTGAGTTCGAGCCCAGCATTGGACTCTATGCTGACCCTCCCCCACCCACACTCTGTCTCTTTCTATCATCTCAGTGTTAAATAAACGTTAAAAAAATTTTTTTTTAAATTTTTGTGTAAATAAATAAATGTTTGGTAGAATTCACCAATGAAGCCATCTGTCCTGGACTTTGGTTTTTTGGGCTGTTTTTGATTACTGATTCAATCTCCTTACTAGTTTCTGCACGATTCAGTCTTGGTAGGCTGTATGTTTCTAGGAATTTGTTCTTTTCTTCTAGGTTGTCCAGTTTGTGTGTAATTGTTCATACTAGCCTCATGGGAGTTTGTATTTCTCTGGTATCAGTTGTAACGTCTTGTCTTTGATTTTTAATTTTATTTATTTGAGTCCTCTTTTTTTTTCCCTTGATGAGTCTAGCTAAAAGTTTATTGGTTTTATCTTTTCCAAAAGCCAGCTCTTAGTTTCAAAAACAAACCCAGTGTCTTAGTTTGATCTTCTCTCTTGCCTTTTTTGTCTCTATTTCATCTGATCTTCATTGTTTCCTTCCTCCTACTAACCTAGGGCTTCACCTGTTCTTTTCTCCAGTTCCTTGACTGTAAAGATAAGTCGTTTATTTGAGATCTTTCATATTCCCTTTGCTTAAAAACAATTTATTTATTTTTAAAGTAAATGCTATATGCAACATGGGCCTCAAGTTCATGGCCCCAAGATCAAGAGTCGCATGCTCTACCAACTAAGCCAGCCAGGTGCCCCTTTCTTA